TCGCCTTGGCAATATCCAAAAGTTTTTCAAGCGCGGGAGCATTAAAGTTTCGCTCCTCCGAGATTCTAGTCCTCAGAACCCTTTTCGAGGACCGTTTGCCCTCAGAAGTTGGATTTGAGGACATCGTCACGCCCATAACAGCACCTTGGAAGCTCGCCAGGATGATACCAACGATCAACAGAAAATGTCGAGTCATGATAGAAAGGCACTTCGAGCAGTTCACACCTTGAGTCGCCAACGCTAAGGAGAGTGGCGAATGTCCTGCAGCTACTTCCAAATAACTGTTCTCCTCGATGCTAAGTTGCAAAGTGATTGTAAGGGGAGAGTTTATATCTTGTGTACTTATCGGGTTGACTTGGAGACTTGGAATCAACCAGTCAGCCTTCTCCACAGTCCTTGATTACGAGGATTCGCGGTCAGCATGACACCTTGACCGCATTTTTCCGCCTGTAAGTCTATCCATTGCTGATCCTGATTATGCAGTTTGCTGGTCATCATCATACACGCCAAATAAAGTGATTCTTACTTTATAAAAGTAAGTGGGCAATTAATCCTGCTCCACAATGCCGGACTCGCGTGGGTAACGCTAGCACTTAATTGCAAAATTTCGCAGTCAACTTCAGTCATGTTACATGTCAAAAAAAAAAAAAAAACTCTCCATTGCACTCAGTGAAAATGAGGCAACGAAGAACCCTCATAGGACGAAGAGTTCACTTCACAGAAGTGTATTGCCGTTGGCCTCGCAGACATTAACCCAATTGTAGCAACGGATTTTTATTTATAGCCCAAAAGGTGTCGACCGAGTCATAAGCTAATGTACCAAGTGAAAAGAATACATGCACTGAAACATGTCGCAACATGTACATCTCCTGCACTTGTGATATTATTGTGATCTGCTGGTAGGGGAGTGTGATACCTGAATATCATATATGCCTGAAATCTAATGCAAATCTAAAGGGCTTCACTTGGCTTCAGTATTGTGCGTACTTAATGTGCTAGATTTATGGCACTTGTGATAACAAAATAATCACGCGTTTTATACGACCTTTCAGACTACCTTTCTCAACAACTGGAAATGGCACGCTCCAAGCACAACAACGAAGACCTCACCGCGGTGGCGCAGTCGCTGCAGTCCAAACGAACTAAGACAAGTACTAAACGAACGTACTCTTCCAAGATCAACACAATGACAGCGTGGCTAGCCTCCCACTACCCAGAAACGATAGATACCGAGTCCGAGTCCCAAAAACTGATAATTCCTCTCCCCACAGACGCCATTCTGTCATTTTTTGGGCACATATGCAGTCCTGCTGACACATGCGATCGAGGTAACGTGGCCTCTACGCAAGCATCTACAGCCCCCCTATCTGCATCTTGTATTTGGGGTTATCGCAGTGCATTGGTTGACGTCTACCGAAGTAATCTCCTTGAACTTGACCCACAACTGGATACGGAGCTACGCCGAGTGTTGGAGGGGTACGAGAAAGTAATCAATCATCTTAAGAAACGGGGGTTGATGAAGATCAACGAAGGTAAACGCCAGCTGAAGATCAACGGCTTCGAGCTGGTAGCTGCAAAGTTAATGAAGCTCGAGCCAAAAACCACTGGGCAAGCATGGTCTACAGTTCTTTTTGGGTG